GAATCTTAGTGCACCATGATAGACAGCATCCAACATCTGCAGGGTGCAGGAGCATTCATGTAAATATTGTCACCGTGGTTAATGGAGGGAAGGAAAGTCGCAGTCACAAGGTGTTTCTTAGCATTCAGAGTTAGACAGGATCTATTTCTGAAAAGAAAACAGTTTTACTTTCAGTTTCTTTACCAAGTTTTTGACGAGGCTTAAAAGAGAGATGGGAATCAACCAAAATACCCAAGTATTTATAAGAATGTACAAACTCAGTAGGAACACCATTCAAAACTAAAATAGAAGGAAGGACTGCTGGTACCGACTTCCTGTTTGAAAACAACATCCCTTCGGTTTTATCAGCATTTAGCACAAGTTTGAGGCGGAACAAATCTGACTGGATGATGTTGAATGCAGAGTTGAAAAACCTTAGCAACTGTTCTAGCTCGACAATAAACTACTGTGTCGCCAGCATAAAAATGTAAGGATGCATCAGGAATGATCTGACTTACATTAAGTATGTACATTGTGAAAAGGGTGGGTCCTAAGACTGAACCTTGTGGTACACCTGAACACATTGCCTCCTGACATGGGCCAAAGTATTATCCTGTGACTCCATTTTCATCCTTGGGAGACAAAGATACATTTTGAAGTACTTGCAGGACTTTTGTACATAAAAATAAAATGCTATTTAAATGAAGCTGCATACAAAGAGGGTTCAGATAAAAGGAACATGTGAACAACGTTTATCATAATTTTCATAATAATAATTTATGAACTTGATGATCATTTTTCCTGTGTGTTGTTTAGTACTGAGTATAAGGCTTGACACGAGACGCAAACTCCAAACAAACAAGAAGGCACGTCTCCTGTTCACTTTGTTTTTTAATCAGGCCAGCGTGTTGGTGCCCACGTCACTGGTTTCCACAGTGGGTTGATCCAGCGCGGCTCTTCCGGTGGAGACGTGGCTCTGCTGCTGCCATATTGACGCTAGCTAACAATCACAGAAGTCGAAGTCAGCCGCACCGCTTCTCACCATTCCAGAGAGACTCAAACACTCCCAGAACAAGAAGCACCAGAGACCGGAGCGCAAAAAGAGACCGAACATGGTGAGTAACCACCGGAACCAGCCGAGCTCTGGCTGCTGTTTGTCGGGCCTGGTCATTAGCACTACACTGGCTAACCTAGCTAGCGGCTAAAGCTAGGACTTTCGTGGCTTCTCTGCTCCTGAAGAGCAATATCAGGAAGATAAAACCCACAGTGGCTGTTTTTGTTTAATAACAAAGGCTGACGTTAATTTAAATGGCTTACACCGAGGTACAGAGTTGTATATTTGCAAATGTTTTCATGAATTAGCACACTGCTGACGTTACCTAGCTCAGGGTATCTTCAGCTAGCATCCGGATACGAGCTAACCTGCTGGTCTCAGTTAAAGTCGTCAGACATGTACATGTAAATACTTGGGGGTTATTATCACTGATCAACCAGCGGGATAATCTGCTTCATCACCTTTGCTTTAAAAACGTGAATCACGTGACTCGGTGTTAACATGCAAACATGAACTCATCTCCTTTGTTCTTAATTTATTTCAATGCTTCATTCCTGTCAGTCTTGCTTTTAACGTAAAGAAAAAGTGAGTAATTTGACCTTCTAACTTGAACCAATCCTAATATTGGTCATTCAGATTATATACACACCTGTCACACCTCTGTCAGTTTAGTGCATATTGTTTAAGCTGCTTAAATATTTAGAACAGTCGTCCTCAAGACTTTTAGCTTTTGACTCGTACAACTCGATCCTGACTTGCTAAAGTGTACATGAAACATTTAGAGCTCTGTCAACAATTTTATGTGTTTAGCCATTCATGGCTACTGTTGTTTATTAATCTTGTTATACCCGTTAGGGCTAAATTGCCAGTTGGCAGACATTTTTAAGGTTAATTAATTTTTCCATCTCTTTTCAAGGCTCCTACATTTGTTTTTCACAACCCACAGTGGGTCCTGACCCCCACTAAGGGAACCACAGTTTCAGAAGACAACTCGGCTTTTTTCATTCATTCAACCTTTATTTATACAGAATAATCCCACTGAGCCTCGAGGACTCATTTACAAGAGAGACCTGGTTTCAACAGACTGATGACAACAGTAGAAAATAAAAAAATGTTTTTAAAAAAATCAGGTGGTAAGGCGATGTAGAAAACTTAAAACAGGAACATGTCTGCATTGGTTGTTTTAAACAGATGTTTAAAGACACTTGGGGAGGTCAAGGTCGAGAGCTTCAGATCTTTTTGCAAGATATTCCAGGAAACAGGAGCAGAGTAGGAGAAGGCCCTTTTGTTTATTTCAGTCCTCACTGAGGGAACACTGCAGGTAATAATGTCCTGAGATCGCACGCTGTAGCTGCACTCACACAGAGACATGTAGGAGGAGATGTATGAAGGCAGCAGACCAAGAAGGGATTTAAAGATGAAAATGTACCAGTGAGAGAATCTTTGAAGTTAATGATGTCCAGTTAACCAGTGAATACTGGGTGCAGTGGTGGGTACTAGAGATGCACTGATCCGATGCCAATATTTTTATTGGTACTGATATTGGGGGGGGGGGACTTCTGGATCAGGTATCGTGACAATGTGACCGATCCATGACTGGGCAGATCTGTTCACTCTAACTCTATGAGTCAGAGTGACGTCATGCGCTAGCGTACTGACTGAACAAATTAAAGTTGTGTTGTTTTTACATGTTTGACCAAGCTTGTGAAGCTCTTGGTGTGTTTAAGTGTGCTGCTCTGGTGCAAAGTTTTCAATAAATTTGTAATTCAGTACATTCATGTCTGCGTTTAAAAAAAAAAACAAATGTTAATTCAGCACTGGGTTTGTAAGCTCAATCATCCAGGTAGACAACAAAAATGGCTAAACCATGTCATCTGGACCTGTTTCAGAAACGGGTCCAGATGACATGGTTTAGCCATTTTTGTTAATTCAGCACTGTTTTCTGTATCAGATCGGTATCGGGTGTAACTAAACGGCAGGCATCGGATCGGAAGTGGAAAAAGTGGATCTATGCATCCCTAGTGGGTACGATAGTTACAGCCAGTTATGAATCTTAGTGCACCATGATAGACAGCATCCAACATCTGCAGGGATCTTCTAGGAGCGTTCATGTAAATAATGTCACTGTAATCAATGGAGGGAAGGAAAGTAGCAGTTTATGGATGATAGGAAACACCTTGCAGTTACAAGGTGTTTCCTATCATCCAGAGTTAAGCAGGATCTAATTCTGAAAAAGAAACCCAGTTTTACTTTCAGATACTTTACCAAGTTTTCCACGTGGAGAGCTTGTATAGTCCTTGTTTATTTGACAGTAATCAGTAGCTGTTTGCTGTAATATAAACTGACCTTTTGAGTTCTTCTATGACTTATGCCAGTTTTAATAAATTATCCATCCATTCACTTTTTCACTCCCTTAGTTTTCCTGTGGGATCCCAATGTGTTTTCAGGCTAAAGGGCATACACAATCCCTCCTCCAGTGACTTCTGGGACTTTTTTGGGGCCTCTTCTTTTTGAGATGTGTTGAGAAACCTTCTGAAGGGAGGTGTCCAGGAGGTGTCCTAATCAGATGCCCAAAGCACCTCATCTAACTCTCAGCAGACTCTCTCACTGGTACATTTTCATCTTTAAATCACTTCTTGGTCTGCTGCCTTCATACATCTCCTCCTACATGTCTCTGCGTGAGTGCAGCTACAGCGTGCGCTCTCAGGACATTATTACCTGCAGTGTTCCCTCAATGAGGACTGAACTAGGCAATAGGGCCTTCTCCTACTCCGCTCCTGTTTCCTGGAATATCTTGTAAAAAGATCTGAAGCTCTCGACCTTTGACCTCTCTAAGTGGCTTTAAGAATGTGTTGGACTCCTGGCAGGGACCAATGCAGACATGTTCCTGTTTTTAGTTTTCTACATTCGCCTTAGAATCTCGCCTTAGAATCTAGCTGTTTTTTGTTAGTTTTCTTTTTACTTTTCTTTTTTTTTTTGCCATCCTATTTGTTAAAAAAAAAAATTGTATGACTTTTTATAACCATTTATTGTTGTTGCTGTTGTCCATTGTTGTCATCATTCTTTGTTGAAATCAGGTCTCTCTTGTAAATGAGTCCTCGAGGCTCAGTGGGATTTACCTGTAGAAATAAAGGTTGAATGAAAAAGAAACAAATCAAAGTTTTACCTTTTTTACTCATCTTTTTCTTCACCATAACAGACCAAAGCAACTCCCTCTTCACTGAGGATGACGCCATGCTCCTTTAACCCATCACTCGCTACATCCCATCATCACTCATGAACAAGACACTTGTCAATATTTAAGCTCTTCTTGAGGCAGACATTCATCCCTGACCTGGAGGGAGCATTCCATCGTTTTCCAGTTAAGAACCACGGCCTAGTGATGGGTGAAAGTGTATGCATCACTGAGGCTCTAATAATGGCCCTTATGCGCTGTAAGTCTGGTCTGACCAAACTTGGGCTCCTCCTCAGCAGGGTGCTCATTTCTTCAAGGATTTTTGTCAATGGGGCGCGAGAGAAGCAGAGCGCTACAGACATTGAGCGCTACGTCAGTAGCTTTTTAGCTAGCACGTCTGTATTGCATGCCGCTAGCTTAGTGCTAAGTGAGTGCTGGAAGTTGTCTTTGTGGGGGGGGGGGGGGGTGATGATGGACGGTTCAGTAGGCGGGGTGCTCGGTTCTGTTGACAGGGCGGGGCACCCTCTTTGTTTGATGGTAGGGGAAACACTGAAAATTCTGACGGTGTTGTCGGAGCAAAAGGGGGTACAGTTCCTGCAGGTAAGGGGAGTTTCACTTCGGGACAAATTGCGATCAACACTTGATCAATTTCTGCCAATCCTGCTGGAATGATTGACAGGTGGCTTCATGTCATGGAAAAAGGTTCACAGCTTCTGTCTAAGAAGCTAAGAAGAGTGACATCTGGTGGCCATCTGAAGCCACATCAGAAGTTTCTAAGAGCTCACAGTTTCAATCCCATGTCAGCAAGAAATAGTTTCCTGCTCCGCAACACGTTTTGTTTATCAGTTTGTCAGTTTTCCTGTCCTGCATCAGCTTTGCTACTCTGCATTTTGTGTGTCTGTATCACTGCCTGTTACAAAAGAAAACACAGGTACAACTAATTAACTAATTAGAATTTTAAAAGTAGCAAATATTGTTAGATCAAACGGTCTTCCTCTATGTTGGCATGTTATTTCAGTGTTTTACAGCAGCTCTTTTATGACTTGGCTCATGTAAAACTTTGGCCAAAAGCCCAACGACAAACCTCAGAGCCCGTGTGGTCCTCTACTCTGATCTGGGTAACGTAGGTCTTCAGTGGGACCTTCAGCTGGTACTTGAGTTAGAGACATCCATAACAATTTATTTTCCAGTCAGATTAGAAGTGGAAGATGTTAACTTTAAGACTTGCACTGAACCAACCAAACACTGAATGTGTTCTAATATTAAAGGTCTGCAAGCTTTTCTTCACAGATGTGTTTGCCTCTCCCTGCAGGTGCTGTTGGCAGCGGCGGTGTGCACCAAGGCCGGCAAGGCCATCGTGTCGAGGCAGTTTGTTGAAATGACCCGAACACGAATCGAGGGTCTTCTGGCTGCTTTCCCTAAACTGATGAACACAGGCAAGCAGCACACGTTTGTGGAAACAGACAGCGTTCGATACGTGTACCAGCCTCTGGAGAAGCTCTACATGGTCCTCATCACCACCAAGAACAGTAACATTCTGGAGGACCTGGAGACCCTCAGACTTTTCTCCCGTGTGGTAAGAAAACCTGGAGCCCACGTTGGTTAAACTGAACGAAAATAACAAGAACACGTTGATCTGTTTTGTTTTTCCCAAATTCTGTTTTGAATTTTCTGAATTCTGTTTCATCATAAAACTCCATTTTTGCACTCAAGTGTCATGTGGTGACTTAAGATCCACAGTTTTAATAATACATTAGAACTAAAAAATAATTAAAAAAGTTTTACTTCTTAAGGCTGTATTATTATTATTATAGAACTCTTTTCGTCTCCTTGTTGTCATTTGTTTTACTCTGGATATGTCCTTCCTGACACAACCACCGAGCTACAGCAGTGCACACGTTTGTAGCATAGGGTTGCCATCTGAGGCACCCGTGTAGTGGCTTGGGGTGGGGGGTTTAGAGCCTTGCTCAAGGGCCCACTGTGGGGCATTGGTGGTGCTTCTTGTTTCCCTACCTGATTTTTTGTTGTAACGTTCTAGGGATTCAAACCTTCGTCTTCCTGATCACAAGCTCTCCTTCTCTAACCTCTGCCATCAACCCCCCCCCCCCCCCAATCCCTCTTCCATTCTCATTTAAAATGTTTGAAAGTTTTTGTTTTTTAAGCCTCAAGTATTTATCAGCTGCAAAACCTACCACTGATTTCCCCCGAGGCCAAAAGCTTCGAGATGCTGATATACGTTTTTGTTGTCGCACACAGATGATATTTGCAGAGCACTTTTATCTTAATAAAAACATTTTCCTCATTTAAATTTTTTTTTAATTAAGGTTTTGTAATTTTGCCTGAATAACGGAGAACATGAAACATGTTTTCAAATGGAACAATTTGAGATTCTTCCTTGTTGCTCCAGATTCCAGAGTACTGTCGAGTTCTGGAGGAGAGTGAAATTTCAGAGCACTGCTTCGACCTCATCTTCGCCTTCGATGAGATCGTGGCACTCGGCTACAGGGAGAACGTCAACCTGGCTCAGATTCGCACCTTCACAGAGATGGACTCGCACGAGGAGAAGGTGTTCCGGGCTGTCAGAGAGGTGAGAGTGCACGTTCATGTGGGTTTGTTTCTTGGATTGGTTGAGAAGTTGTCTAAGCTGTATTGGAAAGAATGAAGGGAAATAAAACTGAAATGGGTTGAAGTAGTTTTCTCCAGTTTTT